CCATTTGTTACCGGAACGAATGATGCTCATAAAGATGCAGTAAATGCCTATCACCCAATAGCATTTAATGAATAATATTCTACAGCATTTAGTATAATGTCCGTTACAAAGAATTTGTCATTCATGCCCGCCGTTACACATTCTTCAATGGCCCTCATAATTGACATTAAAGAGGGGCATGATCCTAGGACCTTGTTCCCTAGGTGCAGCTATAAATAGTGAGCTCTGTTGTCATTGTAAAGAGAGAAATTTTCTGGCAAACTTATGCTACAATCTATTCAAAGCTTTATACAATTTTACCTTCTTACTTTTTGATTTCATTACTGTTGTGCCCGGAAGCCTTGCTCCCGGAACTACTGTTTCTGCTATTTCATCTTCATCTCAAGGCTAAGTATTGCATATTTCTTCAATTTTTTTTTATTATTTCGGGATCAAATTAATTCATTTGTCTAGAAACCACGTATAAATTCAACTGTACTATTTTACAAGTAAATAATTTCGCGCCCACCGTGGGGTCTAAATAGTTGTGTAATTAAGTTGATATTCATTACGGTGTTGATCCACCATACTACCAAATTGTCCTAACTCTCTGAGTTCCTCTCGAATTTCCTTCAAATTGATACTTCCCCTTGCTAGAACACTACAATTCTTAACCAAAACTCACCTCACTAACTTTAGCATAGACCCACATCGCCCTAAGGCTCATAAGCCGCTGAATTCCCTCTTAAGCACCCCAAAAGTACCACAATCGAGATACCCACTCTGAGGAGACCTTCCGCGAATCTAAAGTCGCTTCATTCCCCTTCCTGATATTGAAATGTAGAATCTATAATGATATAGAAATACCGTGAGTCTCGACACCTTCCAATGAAAATCTCAGTTTCTAGCCATATACAAATCCTGAAAGTTACCAATTGCTACATTTGAATCTTGCATCCATTAGAACCATTCTCGACAGCCTTCCACTCTGCTCAAATCTCAATTAAACCGACCAGGCGGATCGAACGACCTGTGCCCCATTAGCACACCAATACCCAATGAAGTAACCCCACCTTAATGCAACCAAACAAATTCCTACTCCATGTACACTACATCCTTCACGAATAACCACCCAATCATTCTAGATTTCATATGCCCATAAGGTGTGACACAACCGTATCCAGAAATTTCTTTACTCGAGTCATCCCTACGCTCTCAACCTCTG